CAGGCTGGTCTTGAACTCCTGAGCTCAAACAATCCGCCCGCCTCGGCCTCCCAGAGTGCTAGGATTACAGGCATGAGCCACCGCGCCCGGCCTTGTGTTCAACATCTTAAAGCTCTCCAAAAGCAGTTCTTTTGGGTTTCTATAGAGGTCCCATTACATGGGCATGATTGATTAAATCACTGACCATTGGTGATCAGCTTAACCTTCAGTTCCTCTCCCCTCCCTGAAATTGGGGAGTGAAGTGAAAGTTCCAGTCCTCTAATCGCATGGTTGGTTCCCATGGCAACCAGTGCCCATTCTGAGGCTATCCAGGAGTCCAACAAGAGTCATCTTATTAGAACAAAATTGCTTCTATCACTCAGGAAATCGTAGAGGTCTTAGGAGCTCTGTATCAGAAACCAGGGTCAGAGACCAAATACGAGAACAAAAGATTCTCCGAATACCACTATTGCTTAGGAAATTAGAAGAACTAAAAGGAGCTCTATGTCAGGAACTGTGGTCAGAGACCAAATATATATTTCTTCTGTATCAAAATACCACATCTATGCTGGATACTATAGAGGCTATAAGAGAGATAAACTGTGGTTCCTGATCTCTTGAAGTTCACATTACAGTTAATGAAATAATTACGTGCTCAGAAGATGCACTGTGCTATAAAGTAATGCAGTAATATAGACAGAGATGAGTTTTGAATAAAGGGATCAAGAAAGTTTTTTGTTGTTAACTTGTAAGATTTGAGCTGGTCTTTGTCAGACAAGTGACGAGAGGAAGGGCCTTCCAGGACATGGGAATAGCTTAAGCAAAGGCGCAGATGGAAGGATTCAGAATGGATTTGAACGTAGAGGAAATTGGAGTGGTTAGACCATAATCTTTGTGTGGGCTTATGTGGTAAGGAGTGAAGGTGTGGTAAATGTTAGGTAGAGATCAAATACTGGAGACATCTGAAAACCTGACTGAGCTGTGTGCGTGTGTGTATGTAGTAGTTTCTCAGGAGAATAGCAGGATCAAATCCATTTTTTAGGAAGATAATTCAAGTAGGGTAGATTTTAAAAAGGATGAAGCAGGAAATCTATCAAAAAGGAATTATACTCATTTGGAAGAGATACTCAGGGCGACCTGAACTAAGAGAGTGGTAAAAGAGATGGAGGCAAGGGACATTAGAGAAATAGAATATATAGCATTTGGAGTGAGTAAAAGAGGGATGGAAAATGATTCTAAAATTTGGGACATGAGCAGTTGATTCTGAAGGGATCACAAGTTTAAGAAAAGAAAGTAAATATATTTCATATACTTGTTGAACTTACAGGTCAAGATGTCTGGCTGGCGACTAACTCTATAAAACTGTCCTGCATTTTGAAGGAAAGAATAGAAAAATATGGGGTGTGTATTTTAAGAAAGTGTATAACATAAGAGATGGCTCAGAGAGAAATGGCACTGGGACATAAACTTAAATAGAAAGTAACTGTTATTTACTAGATTGAAGTTTATAGCTTGGCTGTAATGTGTCATATGGGTGCCAGTTGTGTGTAGGAGGGTCACATTTTGTGTGTCAGAATGATTTTTTATCTGATTATAAAAATAAATTATGTGGGAAAATAAAATGTTGAAGGAAAAAAGAACCATCCATAGTTTTATAACTTAGAAATAACATTCATTAATGTATTTAGCTATATGTGTATATTTTTATTTATTACATAATACATAGTAGCTAATATTTATTGAGCTCTTAGACTAGAAACTATTCTTAGCATTTTACAATTACTAGCTCGTTTAACTTCAGAATGATGTTTTATTAAGGTGTAGGTACTATTATCTGTACCTTATAGAGATAGGGAAACTGAGGCATGAGACATTAAAACCAAGGGCCTGAAAGGTTAAGACTTTGACCAAGTCTGCACAATTAGGAGAAGATAAAGAGATTCATGTGATTTTTTTTTTTTTAATGATTTCTTTCTTTTCTTTTTTTTTCCTGCCAACAATTTGGTTTTTCAAAATGACTTCTTTTTTCTTGACCCTTGCTACTTACCAATATTCAGGAACCAGTTAGATTCAAATAAGGCACTATTTTTTGCTATCCACACTCTGATTCTCTAACTGAATTCAAAGTACATAGTGGTACTTACAGACACACACACACACACACACACACACACACACACACACACAGATGTACATATGTTTAACAAAAATGTTATTATGTAGTTTTTTATCCTGAGTTTTACCTGGACTGCCCAATTTTTGTCTAAGCCTCTATTTTGCCTGCATGTGAATGTTGTGTATAATTTTATCTTTGGATGTAGATGAAAATGTTAGCTTATTTGACCCAAAAAGAGAGATGACAGGAATTCAGAAGATATTGCTGGTTCTGCTACTGAATCCTATAATGCTAAAAATTAACCAGTGCAATTAAATTGCAACATTGCATACCAGAAATTTAATTCCTGTTTGCTGAAATGGTAATGATTAATCCTAATTGGATGCCTACATTTTCAGAAAGATGTGCCGGATGGGGTGAAAGAGCTATCAGAAGGTTCAGAAGAAAGCAGTGATGGTCAGTCAGATTCCCAGAGTTCTGAGAACAGCAGCAGCAGCAGTGATGGTGGCAGCAACAAAGAGGGAAAAAAGAGCAGGTGGAAAAGGAAAGGTAAATCTACCTGATCCTTCAATACAGTGCTAAATGCTGTAGGGCAAATGTCCTTGTTAGTAGTTCCTCTTTTCCCAGATCCCAGGTCAGTCAGTCTCTTTCTGTTACCCTCCAGAACAGTACCGTCCAGGAGAGTTCCCCGCAGTGATGGAAATGTTTATATCTTTACTGTCCAGCACAACACAGTAGCCATTAGCGACATGGGCCTATCGAAAATTTGAAATATGGCTAGTGTGGCCAAGACATTTCTTTTTAAAAATCCTTTCTTTTTGAGAGCAGGTTTATGTTCACAGTAAAATTGATTGTAAGGTAAAAGATTTCCCATGTACCCCCTTCCCCCACAGATGCACAGCCTCCCTCAGTCAGTGTCCCCCACCAGAGTGATATATTTGTTACAATTGCTAAGCCTATTGCTAACCCTACATTGGCACATCATTATCACCCAAAGTCCATAGTGTACATTAGAATTTATTCTTGGGGGAGTACGTTGTATGGCTTTGGATAAATGTGTGACATATAATGACATGTATTCACCATTATAGTATCATACAGAATAGTTTCATTGCCCTGAAATCCTCTGTGCTCCGTCTATTTGTACCTTCCTCCCTCCTAACCCTTGGCAATCACAGACTTTTTATCATTTCCATAGTTTTGCTTTTTCCAGAATGTCATATTGGAAACTTTTCAGATTGGGTTCTTTTATTAGTAATATGCATTTAAGACTCCTCCACATTTTTTGATGGCTTGATAGCTCATTTCTTTTTAGCACCGAATAATATTCCATCATTGGGTGTACCACAGTTTATCCATTCATCTACTGAAAGACATCTTGGTTGTTTCCAAGCTTTGGCAATTGTGAGTAAAGCTGCTGTAAACATCTATGTGCAGTTTTTGTGTGGACATAAGTTTTCAGCAGCTTTTGGTAAATACCAAGGAGTGAGATTGCTGGATCATATAGTTGAGAGCATGTTTAGTTTTATAAGAAACACCAAACCGTCTACCAAAGTGGCTATACCATTTTGCATTCCTACCAGCAGTGGGTGAGAGTTCCTGTTGCTTCATATCCTCTGCCAGCTATTGGTGTTGTCATTGTAATGGATTTTGGCCATTCTGTTAGGTGTGTACTGGTATCTCATTTTAATTTGCATTTCCCTAGTGACGTGATGTAGAACATCTTTTCATATGCTTATTTGCCATCTTTATATTTCTGGTGAGATATCTGTTCAGGTCTTTGGCCCATTTTAGAATCAGGTTGGTTGTTTTCT